TATATGTTACAAAGACCAAGGCAGCTGAAGAGCGGAGAGGCATCTATGGCACTGGTGGTGGTCCTGCAACACCTTCAACCCCTTTGACAGGTGTAGAGGAGAGGATGTTGGCAATGTTAAATGACAAAGAGATGGAGGGTATTGCGAATACTTGCGATTCAGATACTGTGCTGGCGGATGTTCATCGTAAGTTCCTAAAATTCCTAAATTGTTGAAATTCTGATGTTGTATACTTCCAGTTGCTGAAAACAATACCAGTACTTCACCCGCATTGGAAACACCGCTACCCGGTCCTGCCACACTAAGGAAGAAGATGAGCGCACCACTGTGGACACCTCGAAGACTGTGTGACAAAAACCCGAAGACCTCGTCCTGGGAGAATCTGGCTTCTATCAAAAGCAAATGGACAGAGTCTAAATTCCAGGCAGACGTTGCTTTGGCAAAGAAGGAAGAGGAGAGAGTGGAGCTACAAATGAAGCTCATGCGCGAAAGGCACGAGTTGGAGGTTCTCCAACATAAGGAACGTCAGGCCATAGAAATGGAAATACTTAGCGTTCGATTAGAAAAAGAAAAATTGGAATTAAAAAAGTTATATAACGTGTAAATATTTTTATACTCGCAGGTTCTACAATTCACTTCCGAGTAAATTTCAACCAATGCCAATTTGAATTCAAAGCGGATTTTATTGAAATTCACCCGGCCGTGAATTATAGAACCTCCTGATAAATTCATATTTGTATATCGCCTGCTGCAAATGGACGAACAACGCCAGATTTTATAATGTATTTCAAAAACGCCCTATCAGCTGAGAATATGTTGAGATAGTGCGTGTTTGAAGCGGCAGTTGAGATAGAGCGTTTTTGAAACAAATTATAAAATAGGGCCTTCTTCGGCCATTTGCTAAGATAGGCCGATCTTCCAATCAGCAGACAATATACAACTGAGTGCATGTTTTTTTTTAAATATTTACAATGATTTTGAAGTTTATAAAGAAGTTGGAAAATTTAAAAAAATCAAATTTCGAACTCCTTAGGCTGGTGTCCGGTTTCACCAATAAATTTAAAAACTTATCAGACTGAACAAATTTGTAATTTTAAATTTTAACAGGCTGATAAATTTAAAATTTATTGGTGCAACCGGGCATGAGTTTATATAAAATTTTTGGGTATGTAGTTGGATCTCATGAAATTTTAGTAAAATAAGTGCAAGTTTTAAGGGGCTAGAAAATCACGTTGATTTCTAATAATTTTCTTCTGACGGCTTTTGCGGTTTTTCCATATAAACAAGAATTTGTTGTGTAGAAAATGTGTTTGCACACAAAATTTGCTCCAGTTTTTATAAATTGCACTTTTTATATGAAAAAAAAACAGCAAAAGCCGTCAGAAGAAAATTATTAGAAATCAACGAGATTTTCTAGCCCCTTAAAACTTGCACTTATTTTACTAAAATTTCATGAGATCCAACTACATACCCATAAATTTTATTAAGCCCAGTCTAAAAAGCTCGAAATTTTAATGAAATTTTTTTTTAATTTCTCCAACTTCTCTATAAACTTTGAAATCATTGTATATATTTAAAAAAAAACACCATGCACCCGGTTTTGATCGCCAGTGTAGTAGTAATATGCGAAGTTTTTTGTTTTTGTTTTGTTTGAATGGAATATTTTGTTTTTTTTATTTACGTTATACTTTATTTATTAATACATATGTAATATTACAGTCTAAGATATGTACATATATGATTTTTGTTAGATAATTAGCTGTATTTTTATAAAAAAATAATAAACATTAAACAAACAAAAGAATAATTGCCAAAACTGTTCAAAATATCGTGTCCCTATTATTTTCCACATGACAATATATATATAGGTTAGCATCTATAATTTTCTAATGGGATGTAAGTTGTATATCAAACTATATATTGTTACCTTAATTCCCAAAGGCCCTAACCAACACTTTTTTCGAAACCGCGTTTTTCACAGATTTTTGTAGGAGGTATTGAAAGACGCGTTCAGTGAAAAACTGTGGTCAGCGTTACTGGAGTTGGACTTACGATGGCTATTTTTTTATGAAGAAATTACCTCGACGTTGAAGTCGACAACCATAATAGGGCCGATTATAAAAACTATCAAAAACTTACACTTTAAAATTTTTACTGAACGCGTCTTGTAATACATCCTATAAAAATCTGTGAAAAACGCGGTTTCGAAAAAAGTGTTGGTTAGGGCCTTTGGGAATTAAGGTGACGATATGTGGATATTCACCAAATTGACCAAGTGGCCTGGCACTCTGGCAAAAGAGCAGAATAGCTCAAGCAACGACTGTGACAAAAGTTGTTGTTTGAGCTAATCTGCTCTTTTGCCAGAGTGCCAGACCACTTGGTCAATTTAGTGAATACCCCTTATAATTTAATTTTTTTGGAGTCGTTTACCATAGTTTCTTGCCCTCCAATTTTTTATTTACATGCATATCGATGGCTGAGTGGAAGATCGACCTATTTCGGCAGCCAGTTCGAAAACGCCCTATCTCAGAATTTTATTTAAAAACACCCTCACCCCTATTGCGAGTGTCGACTAGTAGTAGATAAACGACTATTTTTCGATTATCGCTTTTCCATGGTATTGTGAATGTCGATTTATCGTTCAATATGCGACTGTGAATAGTTTTTAGTCGCTCATCCTTCTACATCTGTTTGTTTGTATTGTAAAAGGATGTGCGACTATAAACTATTCCCACTCACTTATTCAACGAGAAAACGACTTTGAAAATACCACGGAGAATCGATAGTCGACTAATAGTCGTTTATCTACTACTAGTCGACACTCGCAATAGGGGTGCCTATCTCAGAATTTGGTTCAAAAACACCCTATTTTAGCTGCCGATTCAAAACTGCTCTATTTCAGCACATTTTCAATGTATTTTCGTTTGAGATAGGGCGTTTTGAACCGAATTCTGGGATAGGGTGTTTTTCAATAAAATTCTGAAATAGGGCGTTCTTCAATAAAATTCTGAAGTAGGGCGTTCTTCTTCAATCAAATACTGAAGCAGGGCGTTCTTGAAAAGTTTTCTGAGATAGGGCGTTTTCCAACTGGCTCCCGAGATAGGTCGATCTTCCACTCAGTCATTCATTCATATATCAGTGGCCATGAGCAATAACCGCCTAAGTCGAAAAACCTGATTTCGAGAAAAAATGTTTTAAACATTTGGATTATAATGTTAACCTTATGGGGAAACCAAAATATGTTCGTCTTTAACCTTTTAAATAGGCTGGCTGGCGAGATGGGGATTTCACATACACATGGAATAGTCGTTGCAGAATACCATAGCATATATAACTCAATTCTTTCTTAAGTCTACTTAGGCGGTTACTGCTTATGACCACAGATATTGTATGTATTATATTCTTCCCGATAAATAATAATAATAAAGTTACATTTGAGCAAAATATGTATCTATTATTGTTTTTCTTGTTTGGTCATTTCGAGAACGTCCTTCATTTGAGCGGTTTGGTGGAACTGTTAAAACATTAGTTACGGCATCATCAATTTCCGGTACAAGTTGTGGTGCAGTTTTATCATTAAAGCGAATGCAAACATTATTCAGTACTGCTGTTGCAACAATAATGTAAGGAACTGTCGTGACCTTCATTCGAATCTCCATGGATAGCACGGGAAATCTGCGCTTCCACACACCGTATGAGCGCTCAATACAATTTCGAGTTCTGATGTGCGACTCATTATACAGATTTTCTGCTCTATTTCTACAATTTAAAAGCGGCGTCAACACGACGTTCGTGTTTTCATAACCACTGTCAGCAACAATGACTGCATTTAGAAATTCCTTCGCCTCCAATCGGTAGCAAATACGTTATGTTTTTATATTTTTTTTTCAGTTCCTTGGATTCGCGTAAAATTTCGTTTGTGGCGTTGAATTCCTGCGTAATCTTTTCCCATGCAACTTCTTTTTCCTTTGAACTGATGTAGTCAGTTTTTTTGCATTCAATTACACTACTGTATTTGCCACAAATTTCAAACAATTTGTTCGTCTCGGACGCATTAAATGTAGATTTTCGCGACATATTTCCAAATTCTTAGTAAAATATTACAACGTATACCGAATCACAACAGAACATAACTATTTGAAATATACACGCTAGACAACCCAGCCAAAACGTAGGAAAAAGACTACTATTTAAAGAAACAGCTGATAGAGTTACCGTGTGCAAAATTATTAAGTCGCTCAGTTGGAGAAACTGAAAAAAGGCTTAGCGCAAAATCGTAGCTAACTTAAGTTATAAATAAGTTTAAGCCTAAGTCTTATTGGAGAAACCAGCCCATAGAGTTAGATACTCTTTTTAGCGAATTCTTAGTCTTTCACAGTTTTTGTGTAATTGAAAAAATTATTTAAGCCATGAGGAAATAGAGACGAAGTTCTTAAAAAGTGGTACTTTTTCACAGTTTAAAAAAAAAAATTTTATTTTATTTTTTTTTTAATACCACACTCAAAAGAAGCAACTGAGAGGACCTTAAGAATAAAGTTTGTTTCCTAGCGCAAAAAGAGAAACCGGCTTCTAATTAATATTTTTAAAGTCAACTCCAAATAAAAAGTATGTAATTTTAAAATTAAATGTATAGAATCCTTTGACTATTTAAACAGTGAAGATTTAAACGATCTCATTATTGCTAATCAAAAATGTTATAAATTTAAAAAAAAAATTATTGGCAATATATCGCAACTTCTGTGTACAACGATGTGTACATTCATGTTTAAATGAATATCACTTTTATTTTTTATGTACTATATTTTACTTATACCAGAATATTGTTAAAAACAAGTACTCCAGCGTTTTAAAGCATTATCGGTTACTTACATTCACAATTTTGCTTTGAATAAAAGTGTACTGAAAAGTACTGACTTTTTAGCATGAAAAAGTCTAACAAACTGATTTCGTGCATAAAAAATTTGGCAACCCTATTTAGGGGGTTACAATTACAGAAAAAAATAAACAAAACAATTCATAGCCGGATACGCGAAACTTATTATATCGTTTGCCATCTGAATTCCAAAACAAAACTCGTCTGCCACCCACATAAGTAAGTATCGCAAAAAAAGATGAAATTAATGTAAATGCTTTCTTTTATAATAACAAAGGGAAAAATAAAGTCCCTATTACGGTTTACAACTCAACTCAGTTGAATTGAAATTGAAACAACTCAACTTTAAAACAACTTAACTCTTTTTTGGCATTACGAATTACAACTCACTTCAGTTGAAGTTGTATTGATGTTGCCAACCTAAAAAAGTGACGNGTTTTTTTTTTCAAATAAAAAGTAAAATGGACATAAGCGTTGATTTATTTTACAACGATGAAAATGTTGGTCCCAAAACTGATGTGCTGCGCATACGGAAAAGGCTTCGTGATCACTCGAATCCTTTGGAACTTCCAAGCACCAAGTAAGAAAAATTGTAGCGACAATTGAATGGCATTTTAATAATGTTTTTTTGCAGATTCGTAAGCTACTCTCGTTTAAATAAGGAAGCATTTGTCTTTTTGCTAAACGAGATGGATGAACATTTCCAGAAACGTGTGCGAGGAACGGCTGTACCTCCCATATTGAAATTATGTGCAACTCTCAGGTTCCTTGCTGACGGCAGTTATCAAAAGTGCAGTGGAAATGATTTTAATGTTGGACTGGCGCAACCTACAATATCTGTAGTTATTAAGGAGGTTTTAAATATAATTGAGCAGCATATTTGTGGAAAATGGATTACAACCCAAATGACTGAAGAGGAGCAAAACGCGTCAAAAATTGCATTCTATTCAAAAAGCGGATTCCCCGGAGTAGTGGGTTGTATCGATGGGACTCACGTTCGCATCATTTCACCAAAAAAAGAAATGCAACATCTTTATCTAAACAGGAAAGGCTACTACAGTTTAAACGTCATGATTGTAAGTGAAAATGTAAAAAGCAAATAATACTTTAAAAGAAAATGGTCATGACATCTATTTCGATTTCAAGCTTTGCGATTACAAAATGGCTATCCGGTATGTGGATGCTAGGCACGCGGGCGCAAATCACGATTCCTTTGTTTTTAACGTAAGCGATTTGAAAGAGCATCTGCAGAGAAACATACAGAGTAATTCCTGGATTTTAGGTAAGACTGGTCATTAGTATTTAATACAAAAATAGATTGTTTAAAATATTCCTTAAAGGCGACGCTGGTTACCCTCTACAAACTTTTTTAATGACTCCTTTCCGCATGGCAGAAGCTGGTTCACCACAAGCTCGCTACAATACAATACACTCTAAGGCTCGAAATATTGTAGAACGGACGATTGGAATATTGAAAAGCCGATTTCGTTGTCTTTTATCTGTGCGTGGCTTACATTATTCACCAGCAAAATCTACACAAATTGTGAACGCTTGCTGCGCTTTGCATAATATTTGTCAACACTTTCGCGTGGAACTTTCTGAAGAAATTGCAACCGCTTCAAGTACGGAAATAAGCAATGAAAACCTGAACATTGAAACAGAAGACGAGGATGCCGCCAGAAGAATTCGCAATAATATTTTGTTATCCATTTAATAGAAATAAAAAACTCTAACTCACATTTAATTATTTGTACTTCATTCAGTCTTCTTTTATTTTCAATGGTTAAATAACTTATATTTAATATTCATTAAATATCACTTCATGTGCTCTTAAAATTAGGTTTTTCAAAATAGTTAATTTAAAAAAGTATCACTTCATGTGCTCTTAAAATTAGGTTTTTCAAAATAGTTAATTTAAAAAAAATATCACTTCATGTGGTCTTAAAATTAGGGATTGCAAAACTTATAATTAATAAAAAAAAAATATTACTTCATGTTGTACAATTAAATTAAAAAATATTTCAAATTATTAAATTAAAGCCCTTTCAATGTTTGTCAAATAAACATCAGTTCTCCATTCACGAGCTGTTCTCGTCTTGCAAATAGCCTCTTAATTTAGCTATTTTTAATTGCTCTACCTTAAAAAAATGTTGTTCATGGGCTTCCCTAGCCTGCCTTTCAAACAATTTATATTTTTGTTGCTTTATGTGCAGCAATTTTTTATTAATGTCGTAATTTTTGTACGCCGTCTTTTCAATTCTATCAATTTTTTTTAGTACCTCTTTTTGCGTTTCTGCCTGCATTTTTAGGAGCTCTAGACGCTCAGTTTCTAAATTGCAGCTTCTGCGGCGATTTTGTACACGCGATGCTGACGAAGAGGGCCGATCTTCAATGTTTGCTACCTGGGGCTCATCAACCATGGACGAAGCTGCAACTAAGCCGTCTTCTATTTCTTCGCCATCCATCACCGGTGGTATATTCTCTACCCCGAACGCCCGGCCACTGGGTGCAACTTGTTCCCTTATCTGAATAAGTTCCGCAACACTTTCTTCTAGTGGATTTAAAGAAACCTCTTGCGACGGACCACCACCAGTTGCAAGAATATTGCTGCGATTGTTGGCAAGCTTCCTTTTTAAATTTGCCTTATAGTGTATCCAAACCTACAGGAGAAATAAATTATTGCGCTTTCATTGTATTGGTCTAATTCCATGATTACTACTTACTCGTCCCCACTCGTGCGCAGTTCTTGTTGGTGGTCTTTAACTGTTTAGCTCTATGGCAAATTGCTCCCACAATCCCTTGCTTTTACTTTTGCTGCTTCCAAATTGCGGCTTGCCTCGTCCAGTTTCGGGATGCTTCTCCATCAGCTCAACTAGTTTTTCAAACTTTTGTTTCGTTGTAAGTTTATTTTTTCTACGAATTTGTAAGAAATTCCTGATTAAGATGTTGGATTAAGACAAATTAAAAAAATTTAATTACCCGCTTTCCATTTTCGCTTAAAAATTTGTTCAAAACAACTGCTAGTAATGAGTTGTCGATTTTCGATACTTTTGTCAACCGAACTAGCACAGGGTGGTAATACCACAAAAAAGTTGTAAGACGATATAAATACAACCAAAAATTTTTTGACAGGTTGAGTTGTTATCGATAATACCAAATTGTAAGTTTTCAACTGAAATGGAGTTGAGTTGTAAACCGTAATAGGGGCATAATAGTCTTCCGCGAATAAGATACATCAAAGATCTTCTGCCAAACCTATGAAGTTGCACGTCACAAGGATCGCGCGAGAACTACACCTATTATGCTATATGTAAATATGAGTTATTGGCGGCTGCTATGGTGTAGTGGTTATCAGCATGCGCTCCCACTCCGCAGGGCCTGGGTTCCAGCCCGGTTCAACCCAACATAAAAAAATAAAAAGGGGTTTTTCTGATATCGGTCGCCCTCGGCAGGCAATGGCAAACCGCCGAGTGTATTTCTGACATGAAAAACAATCGCCGTTCGGAGTCGGCGTAAAACTGTAAGTCCCTCCCCTTTGTGTGACAACATCAAGGTGCACGCCACAAATCGAAGAAGAAGCTCAGCCAGTTGTGTATGCGCCAATTTATTATTATTATTGTGAGTTATTGCCCAAACGCTTCAGTATTATTAGAATGATAATTAAAAAATCGGAATTGATTAAATAAAATGTATAATTTGTAAATTTTTAAGTTTATTTTAAGTCACATAGCGACCTACAGCATATTCAAATCACTTTTTCGTAATTTTAGTTGTCGCCAAATTTTCGCTTCTACCCGCATTTGTTGTATTATACATACGGTGACCATATTAGACAACGTAAAATAAAGTACATTTTTTTTCAAAATGATTTGGGAATACGTACATACAACTTGTATGATAAAAGTACCTTGCCCATATTGTAATTTAAATCAAATATTTACCAGTTAATTATATTATCTAATGTATAAGTTCCCTGCTCACGGTGGGCAGGAAGCAAAGATAGGTTGCATAAAAATGTCCACAAAAACTGAAAGCAGGGTTGTATTTGTTGATATTTTTAGGTTAAGAATCTCTTTGAATTGAAATCCTAGCTGCTCCTGTTTTAAAGATATCAACATTTTACATAGTTATGATAGGACCGACTTTTGCGAAAGAGAAAAACATCCTTGTGCATTAAATATTCAACAATGTATGTGTGAGTAAATGTGTGTATATATATTATGTGAAAATATAAGTTTATGTAAGTTTTTAGCCGGTTTCAATCGTTTCCAAGGCGCACCACGTAGAGGCAACTTACTTTGCACCTCTTTGTTCTTTTTTTGGTTTTATTTTTTTATATTTTTTTCATGCTTTATTTTTTTATATTTGTTTTTTGTTTCCTTTTATTTTTTTTGTTGGCTTACCATATAATATAGTCACACATTTTAGTATTTAAATATTTTATTATTTAGTTAAGTTTTTATATATGCTGGAATGAAAATGTCATTACAGTTTTCTTCAGGCGACTCACAAAAGTTGGTTTATCAATCATATTTATTTCGAATCTATCCCAGAATTTAATGAATTCCCTATGAACTGACTTCCCGGCCTGCTCGGACCATAATCCTAAACCATCGTTATTCAAGAATGAAATATATTGCTTTAAATGTTTAAGGATATAATGGATTTTGACAGTTTGAGAAATTCCAGTACTTTTCAAAGCTGTGCGGAGTTCGTTAAAATTTTTATCAAAATTTCTAAGATCCGCTTGTTTTGCGGAAAACCATGTATTCACGATTTTGCTCATGGCGTTGAACGAGAACGAGAACTGAGAGTTTCTTCCATACAAACTATGTTCGACATTTTTTTGTATGTGGAAGACACTGTCAGCAAAAAATAAATAATTGCAAAAAATCAACGAAACTTTCTGGTAACTTCAGACTTGCACTTTACTAATTGGCTCAAAAGCTACATTTTAAACATCATCAGATGAAAGTGTCTCCGAGCCAATAATTTTGTACGGCACGGTACTTATAAGTAATCTAGGTTTCACGAAAAAAAAAATTAATACAGGGTAATATTAAAATATCAGTCATTTGTTTCGTTGCTGTGAGCTTGTTTCAAAACTTCTGGCTTTTGCTATAATTGTAAAACTCTGTGCATGTCATTTTAACGTATTTAGGTACATACTTATATTAATCATCAACTATTGCTTATGCAAAACGTGCTACATTTAAAAAAAAAATCGCATATGAAAGAGCACCAACCCAACTCGTAATAATTTAAGTATACAAATTTTAGTATTTAGTATAGAAATATTCAATTGAAATACGCCAATATTAAAATGAAGCGCTTTGCACTTAACGGATGCTTTTTCATAATTAAGTTAAAAAAAAATTTATTTAAATTCCATGCTGTCTGTAATGGGATTTGAACCCTGACGCTCTGGAAATTAGCAAATTGTGGCAAGCATCTTCGTGCACTCAGCTACAGCCAGACATGTAAATGTGCATTCAAATGTTCAGTATGATTCAACACCACGTGTGCGTGGTATGAAAGTATTGTATTTAAGTACGAACATTTCAAAACGATAATCAAATAAAAAATATTCATGTTTACTATGCGTTATTTCCCCCAGTAAATTCATAAAATTTTTCTTAATATTACAACGCGTTTTTTCTCTCAGCGTAGTCATTTTTAAGCAAAATTTGTGCAATCAAATCGAAAACCGGGACACTTAAATGAAACCCGGGACATTTTAAGGTTGGACCGGGACACCGGGACAAATAGTCTAAAACCGGGACATGTCCGGGAAAACCGGGACGTCTGGCAGCCCTACACACAAAGCGCATACTTTCATGCGATTTTCTTTATGATCGCATTTGTGTTCTGGATGTACAATAGTCATTATTTCCTGACAGAAGAGTACATAAATACCAAAATAAATCTCATACAAGCTTTGAATTTATTTACTTATTATGAGGAGTACCGTTGGCCTAAGTTAGAGCATTTTTATTTCTTGCACAAGCGCAGTGCGACTTGCCTGCGCTACTTGCTTATAGCAACAAACCTTTAATAAAAAATTACTACCGTATTATATAGCATACAATATTGTATACATACATACATATATTGCGATATTGAAAGTGTTTGTAATGAGAAAGTTCACGCTACAGAAAAAGGTAATTGTGGTGTTTTATCTAAGTTGTATACCGGTAGCGCCCAATAAATCTCGATCAATTATTCTTTCGGTAGGAAAAAATGAAAATGTTTCACATTGATTTGATCCGTTTTAGTCAGTTAAAAAAGGGGAACAGATTTGTATGAGATTTCTTTTCGTATAAATATGCTCTAATTATCGAGAAGTACGCCTTCGTCTTTTGCAAATATATCCTATCAGAAGTATATAAAATGTGGATATCTTTAAAACAGGAGCAGCTAGGATTTCAACTTAAGCGGATTCTTAACCTTAAGATATCAACAAATAAAACCCTGCTTTCAGATTTTGTCGACATTTTTATGCAACCTATCTTCGCTTCCTGCCCACCGTGTGCTGTAGCGAAAAATGAAGCCAAATCCTTTTCAAGGACATCGCCAACTTTGCTACCAAAATGCGTTTAGCATAATTCATATTGCACGACGAAGTCAGCACACAGTGGTTCAAAGTTGGAATTCAATGTTCACAATCCGCCGGAGCCTTCATTTTTCAACCAATTTTTACTAAAAACCTTAAAAAAAAATATTTATTTTGGTGAACATTTTTTTATAATATTTCACAATTTTTTTTGCGTATTTTTTTGTTTTGGGAAAACCATACAATTGTTTTCAACAAGTTTTTATTATGTAACATTTATTAACATACATTTTCTTCCAAATTGCTACTTTTTCTGCATTTTGCCCTGAAAAATTTAGTATAATCAAATTAAAATTCAGAAATCAGGCTCAACTGGTCTCTTGCAAATATTGTAAAATAAAAAAAATAAAAGTTAATCAAATTAAGTGAAAAATTAGGTGAATGAATGCCAGTTTTGGAATTGGAATTGGAAACTCAGAGTGCAACACGATCCTGGGCACAACTTTTCCTGCATTTTATAGATTGTACAAAGATTACCAATTAAATAGAAACCCTTATGTGGGGTGCGAAACAAACTGGCGAAAGTTTTCATTATATTTTATAAGGGACATTTTTGTTTTTCATATTCTACGTTTAAAAATTTACCTCTGAAAATGCAGAGCCGAATTAAAGGACAGTTTAAGAAATAAAGGACAAAAAGCGTACTTTATTTTGAAAAAAATATAAAGGACAGGGGGTTAAAATAACGCACTAACGTTTGAAATAAAGGACGGATGGTCACCGTAATTATACACCTTGTATATGCCCATGATTCAATAACTAAAGGTTTGCTTATTAGTGACATTAGAGTTTTGACACTTTTTTAGCTTCCTGACAAAAGCTTTGACACACACACGAACCCACACGCAATGCCTTGCTAAGGGAGCCGATTTTGTCAAGATGGAGCGAGAAAACAGTTTTTTGAGCAAACCTTTTATTATTGAATCATGGTGTATGCCCCAGTATTCTGTAATTGTCGTATTTATGGTTGTTGTAGATAATGTAGTAGCATGCTGTTAGAAATTTTTACAAAAGGTATCTACCTAAACACTAAAAATACAGAACTCTGAGGTATATGCAACAAACCTCGAATAACCCTATTATAAGATTTGTATGTGTACTGCACCATATTTACATATCTATACATACATACATACAGATTATACTGTGCAAAAGTCAATTTTACACACGAAAAAATCAACATATTCACAAAACTGGGGGACAAATATAGTAAAACTGCGTTTTTAGTTTTTCTCTCTGATGTCAGGATTTTTTTTAAAGAATTTTGAAATTTGATGTTGATAGTTACAAAATACATAAATGAAGATACTGGAATCATTCTTATGGAACCATGTACGCGCTCTAAAAGAACAAACTGACAGTATGATGTGCGGTTCAAATACTTCAATTGTTTTGTATACAAGGTGGTGGTCAGCCTTTCACCTAGGGGGCAGGAGGTTATATAGAGGGAGTTTTTTATTGTTTTGTGTATATAAATAGAAATTTTTGGGTTTAATGAAGTATAAGTTTTCTGGTATCCTTTACAACGATACCAGTTTTTAAAAATCGGTTTGTAATTTTTTTGTTTAAAATATTAAAAAAAAGTATTTTTTGCTTTTAAGTGTTTTTCTCAATTTTTTATATCCGAAGTATAAAAATATGTATACCAGAAGAAAGGGGGTTTAATCGATCTACAACGATACCAAATTTTTAAAAGCCGGATAGTAATTTTTTTGTAAAATTTTTTTTTTCTATACAAAAATGTTTTATTTTTTAATTGTTTTTACTAAAATTTTTATATACGAAGTGTACAAATACGCATATCAAAAGAAAGAAAGTTTGATTGCGTTTACAACGATATAAATTTTTTAAAAATCGGCTAGTACTTTTTTTGTTTAAAATATTTTTTTTATAACAAAATGTTTTTTTTGCTTTTAAATGTTTTTCCTCAAATTTTTACATACACATGAAGTATACACATTTGCATATCAGAAGAAAGCGGGTTACGTTTACAACGATACCAAGCTATTAAAAATCAGTTCAAAATATTTTGAAATATAATGTTTTGAAATTTTCGAAGACCTTTTACCCCTTACAGCACCTGTAATACAAGTTTGCACAAAAAAAGTTATATACCGTTTAGATGAGAGCAAAAGGTGGTCTACGTTAAAGTTTTTAGTTTTTTAGTTATTTACATATAATAATAAAAAATAACTTTTTACCAAAGGTGCTATTTCGAACTTCGAAAGTCAATATCTCGATTTCGGATGCTAACCTCGAAAAACGGGGAAGTTACTTTTTTACCTATGACTCAATTTCTTAAAAAAAATTGGTTTGGTCCAATACCCAGCCGAGTGCTGTACAGTGTAATGATTCCAATATCTTCATCAAAATCTTATAAAGCGAAGTGTAAAATTTTTGTATCTATCTGTGTTTACATGTTAGTCCTCCCTGTTTCTTTCAAAAATAAATATTTGAAATTTCAAGGATATTCAGGGATAAAGTTTTAAAAGGACATTTTCAACACTTATTCGTCCTTGGAGCTAAATTTGTTAAAGCATACAAATTGTGAAAAATTCTGATCTTTGGGACCCTAAAGGAGAGTCCCTCAAAAGTACAACAAAATCGAAAATGGGCGGCGACGATTTTTTTTGTTTCCAGACGATTTCATATGGAATGACTAAAACAGTTAGGTTCTTTTATCTTGTACCTTGGTATTTTATTAACAACATTAACAAAAATAATTGGTCAAACTTAACAAATCAGTCGTCCTATATATCAAATTAGTAAACTCGCAAATAAATCAACAACTGTTTCTAAACCTAAATACGAATGATGGAAGATGGCAAGTAAGCATTGCGGGGAGCGTGCACTTCGGGAGCCCGAACTGGAGCTTGGGAAGCAAAGTTGTGCACAGGGGCGACACCTCCATCGTGCGCTTGGGAATTTCCACCCAATTGATCGTATTGTGATTGGATAGCTTGCTGAGCGTTGGCGGCATCTTCAGGAGTGCGGTATTTGACGAAGTGCACCTCGGGCCTGTGGCTGCTCTGACTTTGGATCGCATTGAGTTTGTTAGCCAAATCTGAAATGTCGCTCTGTTTTTGCAAAACATAGATAGCGGTTTGGTCCTCGCCAGCGTGCTTGGCCAATTGCAGGGCAGCATTTTCAAGACCTTGGTTTTCAGGTCCTTTAATGAAAACCACACGCAGATTCTTCTTTAAAGAGTGGGCAACCTGTTGGGCTCCATCTGCATCATCAAATTCCTGTTCGGGAGCAGTATATGTGAAGTATTCTTTGTTGAATTCGGCAGGTGCTGAGTACGATGGTCCCACGTTTCCAGAACCACCTGGAGCACCAATTCCGCCTAAGTCCCCTGAACCTCCATGACCACCTTCCAAGCCACCAAGACCACTAAGGCCACCTAGGCTTCCACTGCTGCCTAAACCACTAGGACCTCCACTTCCACTACTGCCTAGTCCACTATCACCGCCGAGACTTCCGAGTCCTCCAAGACTTCCAATGCCGTCAGAACTGCCGGGTGTGAAGGAGAGTCCAGAGTCAGAATGCCCAACTGGTCGGTAGTTATAACCTAGTTTATCGGCATAGGAAACAGCAGCCAAACACAATACCTGCAAACAAAAAAATTAAGACAATAAATCAGGCACAAATCCTCGCGATGAAATTTTATTTAAAATTAACACTTTAACTGCTTACAAAGAACGCACGCATCTTGCTAAGGTTTTAGAAGTAGTTTTGCTTTAGAATATAATTGATTTCTGAATCTGTTAAATTTAAGCGCTTGTATTATATAGTGGGCCGCTATCATTTCGTGCTTCTTTGAAGCATCAATTGAGTACCTTAACGCCACTTCTGCTATCAATGAGCGCAAACACCTATACATATTGAATAGAGAAAAACCTTGTAGATGAGTGGAAACAAAAAGGCAGAAATACTCGTATCATTAAAACATATTAGCCAATTTAAAGAATGCGTATATGTATTTCGTAATTTTTAATAGGGTCATCGCATCTGCACGTTTTATACCTGTTGTGTTTTCTTTAAATTATGAAATCATGTATGCAAATGCCAAGCTGATTCGATGATCGCCCAACGCAGTCTTCTACTTAACACGCCGAACGCCGCGTCATGCCACTAGCACAAAATATGCAGCATTCTTTCTGAGAGGAAAGATCTAATAAACTGTATCATTATCACATCGCTATAATCGCCATCGTCTCAATGACGGCGGCATTTTAATCGGTGCTGCGGGTGGCTAATTCAAAGTTCATATGAAAAGCCGTTAGATACTCAGTGCAAATATTTGGCGGAATATCGCTTGATATGAGCAAATATAAAGTTAATGACCATACAATCAAATGCTAATGACTAACTTCCAAAACGTACCAATACAATGCTTGGATACCGTTCTACTGCGGTATTTTAAATGTTCGTATATGCAGAGTTGCGAAACATTGCAACCAGTGCACGGACTTTACCACTTTATTGGTAGATCTACCAACTTTTTAGCTGTTTTTTATTTTCTACCATTTCTACCAACAAAGGCTAAAAATCTACCAATATTTTCTATAAAGAAAGCAAAGATATTTAGATGAACACAGTGTATACATATTTTATCATGGAACATACCTAAAATAAACATGAGGAGTTAATTTTGACCATATCCAACTGTTTATGCAATATTTTTCCAAAGGAATGGTGTGCAAACTTAAATCATTTCAAAACTAATTTTAATCAAAAAATTTTGAAGGGCAGAGTAATTGTTTGCTTTATTGTAAAACAGGGCCAGAATCAAGGCATCCGGGATCGAATCAAATTCGAATCGGAATTTTCTTTACAGCTTTTGGTAGCGAATTCGCTTTTTAAGTTCAATATGTATTTGAGAGAACAGCTGTCATTTTGTTTCATTCGATTCGAATCGTGTTTCATTCGATCACGGATGCCATGATTTGGTCCCACTTTTATGTACTACATATTTATACCTTTTTTGTTGAATGTTTTATTGTTTTATAAAGAAATGCAATTTATTCCAAGACGAATTCATATAATAAGGTGATAGCAAAAGTTCAAAAACAAAAATTCCACTAACAAATTTTACCCATAATGACAATAAGAATTACAAATGCATCATTTTGACATTAAAAATCCCCAAGGCGAAAATTCAGCTGCTTCGGTAACACCATCTTACCTAAATTAGCTTTCATTTATCCTAAATGAGTAAAAACTATATAATAATGTTTCTTTTAAAAAAATCTACCAACTTCTACCAATTTTTGTATGCAAAATCTACCAATATTATTTTTTTCGAAGTCCGTGCACTGATTGGAACCACATACATTGCATATTTTGAATATTCAATATAACAATGAATAAACTTACGTAATTTTCCATTTTCATGACACCAAACGCAATTAAAAACAAACGAAGTATCAACTTGTTGTTTGATGCATTTCCATAGCTTTTCGGATCAACATTTTGTAGTTCGACGTTATGGAACATTCTACTTTGTATGTATGCAATGCAGTTGCAAATAATGAGAGATATATTGTTAGACAGCTAAATGAGGTTAATTTAAAAAATGTATGAATTGTTAACATTTTAATTTTCAAATAAGGGTACGTCAGATATTTATTTCACTTTTTTAATACACTCTGGATAAATCAAGATATTGCCAAATTCCACTTTTTTAATACAGTACCTGAGAATTCTATAAAAAAAATACGTTTGAAACAAATTTAAAAATTTTAATTTTCGTAAACATAACAGTTAGTAGGTACTCTGTTCACTGCTATACAGATCGTTGCATAACAGAAATCCCGCCTCACCAATCAAATGTAAATGCATACATGGGCCTCGCTACCTAGGGACAGGTAACCTTTGAAGTTTACCTTCTAGGTAAAAAAATTAAAATTTTTTATAATTTACGAATGTGAATAGGTTTAAAAATTCATTGTTCTCGAGTCACCCGTATCTGTTTCACCGTTTTCTTACCATCCTTAAATTTGAACACCGCTATACATACGTACAAGGCAAGTTCATTTAATGTGGTGTTAAAGATAAACAGAATCAACTTTCTCAGCGGATTTCGACAGACGGAACGATGCCGTCAAGTGATATTCGCCGCAACGTTGGCGGAGAGCAACATTTCCTGGGGATCCAAAATGAAATTTAAAAATTAATGAAATGGTAACTCATAGTCAGAAATGAATTTTTGAGAAAAATTATCCTTTTTCAATATTCGAATCAAAAAATTTGCAAAACGAAGAAAAATTTAACATTTCAACAGGCAGGAGAAGTTTAAGCAATTTTACCTAAATTTACACCGCATTTACATAAAAGGTTGGAGCTTGTATTAGACCTGTTCCAGGTACTTCAGGAAAAGCAGTTTTCGCCATTTAAAAACCCTATGGAAGGTGGCGACCGGTAACAGATTCCTGTAAAAACCTGCAAGTCGCGAAGCATCTGAAACGCGACTATTGTGTTTTAATAAAAACAAAAATTTATGCACACACATATTAACATGTGTATGTAAGTAAGTACCCTGTCCGGAATTTCGTAGTCGACTACTAAAATAGCCAACTTTTGGCTAAATGCTGGGTTCTACCGAATAAATATGTGTGTGTAAAATTTGTTTCACAATTTTTACTTTCAACAAAAGAGCTTGTGTTCAAAAAGAAAAAAATAAACAATCACATATGTACATGTGTATGTATGTACTATGTTAATAGCCCATCTTTTGCGGTCTTTATGCATGCTTACTAAATAGTTACCAAGTGGCTAATAGTTAATCTAAAATAAGTATAAAAACCAAAAGTACCAAAAACAGTATATTAATTAACTCACTACAAGTCAATTTATTAATGACCAGTTTGTATTTAGGTGAAATCGAACTAACTTTTTTTGCGACAATTGTCATGTAAAAGTAGCCAGTGGAAAGTAACGAAAATTAATCGAGTCGTAGTCATCCCTAGTTTGAAAATTGTGAAATCATAGTGCATTTGTAGTTAGAACATAGAAATGCGCTCGTTTGGAATTATATTTTTGTTAAGAAGAACAAGTAAAGAAGTATAAGTTCGAGCGAAACCGAACTTCATATACCCGGCGCAGATATGAAATATCGTCGTTTCAACCAGAGTTGTGAAAAATGCATTAATTTTTTAATGCATTAATGGTATTTAAAGCAATAATGTTAATGTAAAAAATTAATGCATTAATTTATGAAATTTAATGCAAATGAATATTTCAATGAATTAATTCTGAAAAATGTAATGCTAATCAATTTTTTTTTCATTAATTTATCCAAGCTAATGCTAATGAAAAAATTTTAATGCACTAAAATGTTTAATACTTTTGCTAGTTTGCATTATTAAAAACCATTAAATTTTTTTACTAGTAAAATATAAATAACCTCTTTTGGAAGGACTTGGAATTAGAGCTCTAGATACCCGGGTATCGAGCAATGCGAGTAGCTCGATACTCGCTCGAAACTCGTTCATTGCTCAACTGCTCAAATGTTTGTTCAAAATTTTCGAGTTTTTGAACAATTTTATAAACAAAAGAAAATTTGTAAATTGTATTTGTCAGCAGATGCTTTCTAATTCATGTTAAATAAATTATATTATTAAATACCAATGTAACAATCTTTGCATTATATGTATATCAATAATTTGAAAAATTTAAAAAGTTGCTACCAAAAATGTTAATATAATAAAAAAACATTGCTCAAATTACTCGAAAAAACTCGAATTACTCGAGCTCATGCTCGAAAATTTTCGAGTAATGAGTATTGAACAAGTGTGCGAGTACTCGCTGCTCATATACCCGGGCTGCTTGAAAATGTGCGAACAAAATCGAGAGCTCTACTTGGAATAATTACTAATAGTTTTTTTCAGCTTCATTACATTATGTGTATTTGTAGAAAAAATCTTCTGAAAATTGTTAGATGTTTTATGAAAATGAAAGCCAATGTGCATGCAACGCAGAGTGCTTTTGTAGATTTTTATGTTGATTGTTGATGCATACCGATTAGTTGATGCATAGTTTAGCAGCGCATGTACACGACTGAGGACATACTCTGATCTAAAACAATCAATAAACCGTTTTTTAGTTCCATTTGAGAATGTGATTTTACCTATTTAACGACAAATGCCATTGAACTTGACATAGTGGAAACTAGCCTTAACGCCCACCACTATCTTTTTTGACCTTAAAATTCTACCCTCAACGTCAGCAAAGATTTTTTACTTCAAAATAATATTAGTTAATGGGTTTTTAATGCTTGTTATAATTTTAATGCAATAAATTATTGCAATAGCATTCATTTAAACATTTTAATGTTAAAAAAAAAAAAATCATTAGCATTATTTCTTCCGAATTAATGCATTGAAATTTTCATTTACATTAAATATCAAAAATTAATGCATTAATATTTTTCATTTACATTAAAATGCTATGCATTAAAAATTTAATGCATTTTTCACAACTCTGGTTTCAACTTTCTCTGAACTATTTCGATAATATGCAGAGTTAGACTTAATGATATAATTGAACCAAGTTAGGCACAAATCGATAAAGTGGTTACCGAAATACACCTTTGTAGTCATAAAGTGGGCGGTGCCACGCCCTATTCCTCAAAGTTTATAGCAGTCTTATTTATTGTTGGGGGATTATTGTAACTATTAACTTGGAGTAAATTAGCGTCCTCTGTTATT